TTCCTGTATTAAAGCTGAACGACATCATCCATGTTTCATTTCAAATTCAATGTGTTGCAAAACAACAAAAAAGTGTTTTCTGAAAACACAGCGCTGTAGTTTAAGGCTACGGCATTACACTTTCATCATAACAAGCAGTGAGGGTGCACTGAATTAATAATGCCTAAATGAATATGAGGTAATTAAACGTAACTATGACATGTTGTATTTATGAGCCACTGGATCGTGATACATTTGTTGCTTAGTATTTATTGTATGTAGAGACGAATTCTTATTATAAATAGAGTCTAAAGAGACAAATGAGTGAAAAACTAAATACAACCCATAAACGTTTCCGTATTTACATATGTGGACATATCAGCATTTGATAATCAGTTAAGCAGTATGTATAAGTCAGGCTTGCACAACTCCAGTCCAGGAGGACCGGAGTCCAGCACAGTTTGGTTCCCAACACACTCAATAAACCTGGCAATTAACTGACGAGGTGAATCAGGTATGTTTGACCAGTGAAATCACCAAACTGTGCTGGATACCAGTAGTAGTACCAGTACTAGTACTGGAGTTGCGCACCCCTGGTACAGATAAATGTTATGTAATAGCACAAAAATAATGTAAATTTGACTTTGCAACCATTTATAAAATTATCTGTGTGTGTGTGTGTGTGTGTATAAATATATATATATATATATATATATATATATATATATATATATATACACACACACACACACACACACACACAATTACATCTGGTTCCTATCACCACCACTGTGATCAATTCTGACTCCGTAAGTTTATGTACACTCTTATAAAAGATGGTTCTTCAAGGGTTCCCTAGTGAAGAAATGGTCCTGTATAAAACCATGAACATTCAAAGAAGCCTTTGCATGATTAAAGGGTTCTTTACATCATGAAATAGTTCTTCAGATCGATGTCAAGCTTGTAACAATATCAGAACCCTTTTTGGTGCTGTATAGAACCATATACAACACATTCTCCATCAGTCTAAAGAACCATATCATAATTCTAAGAACCATTTAAAAAAAAATATATATATATATATATATAATTTTCCTATTTAAAAAAGAAAACACACCCCTGGTATTGGCTTTAGACCACTTTATGTAGGTGTCTTCCAGTTTCTGATATCTACTGGGAGAAATTGTTGGCCACTCTCTCATGCAGGATTCTTTCAACTGTGCAATGTTTGAGGGGTTTCTTTCATGCACAGCCCATTTCAACACCCCCCCCCACACACACACACACACACACACAGCATTTCAATGGGACATCTGGGCTTTCACTGCCACAACTTTGATTTCTTCCTTTTTGAGCCATTCTTTGGTGGATTTACTTGTATGTTTGGGATCATTATCCTGTTGGAATGTCCACTTGTTCAGCTTCGAACTTTGTCACAGATGGCCTCACATTCTTCTCAAGCACTCTCTGGTACGAAATTACAGAATTAAATCAATTAAGTCGATTCTATGATTGTAACTTGGCCAGCAAAGCAGCCTCAACCATAACACTGCCACTGCCATGCTTCACAGTTGGTATGAGGTACTTGTGATCAAATGCTTTCTTTGGTTTTCACCTTATATGGCTTCTGTAACTGTGGTCAGACTTGTTCCAGAAGTCCTGGTCCTTGTCTACATATTCATTAGCAAACTTTAGTCTTGCCCTGATGTTCTTGTTAAACAGAAAAAGCTTACTTCTGGTGCACCACTCACATGGGTAAAATTTGTGCAATTTCTTTTGAATGGTTTCTAATTTTGGCATTCTGAGAGGCTTCCTGCTCTAGGGTTAGATTTGCTGGGGTAGCCTGGCCTGGACATGTGGGCAGTTGTTTTAAATCTTCTCCACTTGTAGATGATCTTCCAGACCCTGGAATGATTGATTTCCAATATTTTGGAAATATCTTCTTAAACCCCTTCCCAAACTCAGAGGTGTCTACAGCCTTCTTTCTGAAGGCCTCAGAGAGCTCTTTTGCTCTAGGCATGATGATGCCACACAATCACTCCAACAGCAAAGAGCAAACCAGACCAGATATCTGAGGTTTAGATTCTCTCTAACAGTTTTCTAATTATTAGCACCTGATTGGATGGACCTCATTTCAATTTGACATATTATATCACATTGTCACATTTTATTTATCAACATTGTTTAAATGAATATCCAAATATGTTATAAAGTCATGCAGTTTTCTTACTACTTTACATGACTGTGCCATATTTTGTGATTGTTCTGCCCGGAGCTTAAAAAAAAGATTAAAAACTGTAGAAAATCCATGTTTCTAAAAGTGTCTTTGGATCTGGAGCAGATCTACAGAGTTGTCTGAGTGGGTGTGAGTGATGATTGGATTAAAGTCCTGTGAGTTTGGACACAGAATTCTATTTATCGCTTAAAATGGGAGCTTTGGGTGTGAGATTATCCTTCACAGCGCCTCTGCTCAGTGTGATTAAAGATACTGCTACAGGCTCTAGAGCAACACTTTTCAGATAAAACTTGAATTGATGTCACTTTAGGAAGACTTACTCCAACAGAAGTTCCAATAGGGGTCCAAATTGAATAATGCCTCCTATATGGTGGGGGGGGGGATGTTGTCCTGGAGAGATTTGGTGATTTTTCTGCCCAAACTTATATAATACAGGTCAGTTAATTGCAAGAATTAGCTGCTGTTTCAAATGAAGGAATTCATAAATCAAATTTATAGCCAGACAAAGAAATTATTCACCAAATGTATGTACACCCCTAAAAAAGATGGTGCTTCAAGGGTTCTTTGGTAAAGAAAATGGTTCTACATAGAACCGTGAACTCTCACAGAACAGAAAGAAAAGGTTCTTCAGATGGATGGGAGAATGTGTTGTAGATGGTTCTATATAGAACTTTTTTGAAAATGGTTCTGTATAGCACCCAAAAGAGTTTTACTATTGTTAGGGTGTCAAGCTTATAGCAATAAAAGAACCTTTTGGGTGCTATATAGAACTTTTTTTTCAAAACGTTTCTGTTTATAGCACATTCCTGCATATTTTCCATCAACCCAAAGAACCCTTTCATGATGCAAAGAACCCTTTAATCCTGCAAAGGGTTCTCGGAGTGTTCATGGTTCTATATAGAAGCGTTTTCCCTTACCAAAGAACCATTGAAGCACCATCTTTCTAAGAGTGTACAGTACGTTTAGGCATCTCAAAAATGTTCTGCATTGCAAAGTCTGCACGGTTAGCTGATTAGCTCACTGACGCTAACCTAGCCAAGACTGAGTGTGCTCTGTTTGAATAGTCCACTCCTCGCTGTTCACTCCTCCCCTCGTTTTGCAAGTGATTACCTGTGAACCGTAGGTGTGATGCACACCTGAGTGAGTTGAAGTGAGGCCGTGTTTTAAAAAGTACTGAAACGGGACCCGTGAACTAAATCAGTTGCACTAAATTCACCAAAACACTGTCCTGATGCTGGCAGCTGTCTGATGGACCGTGTGCATAATCTGGGTCACTCTGGTCGGCATGCTGCGTAGGAGCATGTGTCCAGGTCCACCAAAGTGGGCTCTGGTGGGGGGTGGGGGGTGTCACTGTGCGCCTGATCCAATTTCACCACCTCTCGGGCCAGGCTGGCTTTGAGCTTGTCTGTGAGATTGAACTCAGCAGGGAGTTTTAATCACCTTCATCCTTTATTTCTGCGAGACTGAAACAGTTCAGCTTCCAGGATTCCAGCATTTGAATGATTGATTTTTTTTTTTACTTATCTGTAAGTGACAAAACTCTCTATATCCACAATGAGGGAAACCCCATATTAGCTAAAGTGGCCCGTTTATTGAGCTATTAACAAAGAAGGAGAGTAAACAGTATTAAAACACACAGTGGAAAAAGGGAGAACTCAAGCAATCGTATATATGAGTCATTCTACAGAAACGTCCACTTCTCTGTCTCTCCATAGGAGTCACTGGTGTTACTGATCCTCATTGGTGTTCCACATAATAAAGGGAACACCAGAGACATTTTAAATGAAAGATGCATTTTATAAAATAGCTGCTACAGAGCATCAAACCACATGTTGTCAATCATGGAATATCCACTAAAATATGGAATTTAATCCATTTGTGTTCTATTATTTCACAGTTACCTCAGAATGAAGTCGGTCACACCAGTGACTTCAGCTAAAAGCTTCATATGAAATCATGAGCTAAATGAGAAAATCTCTGATAACTGAAAAACACAGTGGACTCACCATGAGTTTTTCTTCATAGATCCTCAGAAAACAGGTAAAAGGAAGTCAAGTGACGTCATCAGTGTGACTTTTATTTCAAAATAAGAGATTTTTTGTTAGGCAGTCACACCAGTGACACGACTCCTGGGGACAACAACTTTCATTATATATTTTATAATATTTATTTGGCATTTGTTTTCTTTATGACATTTGATTTATATATTCCATAGTCATGTATAGATTATTGTAGTTAAAATTGCAGAAAAATGTGTTTTTTACCTCAAAATATAGCCTCAGCCTTCACACACGACTGTGGGGACGAGCTCTTCTGTGGTGCTTGGAATTCTAGATAATTGATTTAAAAACCAGTATTGCTGAAATTGAGGCTCAAGAAAGTGTAATTGTTAAAATATGTATTTTTTTAAAATATAAATAAATTGTAACCCTAACATGTTTTTTTAAGTGTAATATATCTGTAAACACTAGGGACACAGAAAATGGACATTTCTGTATTCTGTATATAGTACAGCAAAACATAAAAATGCAAAAAGTATTTACACCCATTGTGCTCACATGTACAAAAGTAGGCCATTCTTGGAGCTGGCGGCAGAGCTACAGCAACAACTGTCCATTTGTGTATTTTGTACTGGTCAGCTGCTCAGAATGGGCCAGGCGGCATGTTAGAGGGAACACTGTTCAGTGCTTATTCACCTGATTACCTGATATTTACATAGAAATGAATGTATAATATTAATGAGCACTTTAAGCACTGCTTAACTTGTGCTTGTTGACCCCGACGCTTAAAAGGTAGTCGCAATTTCAGACACGGTCGAGTTCGCTAACCCATCTGGATTGAGTTCGAGCCGCTGGTCGATGCCGGCAGCCGCTTGATGGGCCGCATACGATGGCAAGGCTTCCGTCCTCAAGTACGTCAAGGCCGAGTTCCTCGCTTTCAGAGTGCTGGTGCCGTAGCAGGACTCTTTCCAGGAATGAGGATTAGCATGAGTTTTATTATGAACGAGCGACTGGGAGAAGCTTATTGTATAAACGTCCCCAGAAGATGAACCTCCGTATCTCCCCTGCCAGTCGGCCACCGGGGACTCGTGCGCCACAAAGGAACCTGAAACAGAGAATGGGAGCATTCAGGAAGACTTAACAGCAAGACTCGCTCACTAAAAAGGCCAATTAGCAAGAGCAGCGATGACTGTAATCTGCACAAGGTGAAAGGAACGCACCTTTGACCCACGGCTGGAAGGTAGTGAGGTTCCTTTTAAGCCCTTCTCCGCTGATGTCTGAATCGCTGTCGTTGAAATCGCTGTCCCCTTTGCCGCTGTCCTTCATGCTCAGCTGGTCCGTGTTGCTGGTGCCACTGAGCGGAGAGTCAGACATGTCAGATTATCTGATTATTGATGTTCCCCAGCAGAGAGAAGTATTCACTGACACATGGCTAACGTGCTACAGATACGATTCATGACCTGTTATATGCTCCATTTTCTACCATGAAGGTCTCATCATAGTGAATGAAAACCTACACTAAAACCATTTCTGTTGATCAATACTTCCAGCAGTTTGATCGTAAAATTCATGCTGCAGGGCTGGAAGAGTCCAGGTCACATTTTCAAGGGCTTAGCATAAATTTCAACACCACTGAATTCTCATTTTAAGAAAACTGCATTTAGGATTCATTCTTTTATCCAGGCTTGTGAGCTACATCATAGACAGTGTTGGCCTGTAACAGGATACAAGTATTGGGAATACATATTTGGAATAAAGTTACTTTTTAAATATTTTGGAGATTAATTCACCCTCTGAATAAAAAAGAAACACCATCAATGCCTGATAACCCCGTAAATGGCCAGGGCCCACCAGCAGGCCCAAAGTTTTATCATTTAGCTCAGATAGTTTGTATTGAAGTCCCTGTAGTTACTGAATAACAAGCCTTAGTATGTAAATATGAGATTTTAAGGGGTTAATTAACTATTTTAAAATGTAGTAAACACGTTCGTTCGGCGAATTTTAAAGAGGAACTCAACAAAAGCCTCCTTTACCAACACTGAAGTTCCTGCTAAAGCCTGAGTAGACTGATAAACCAAATAATAACCTTAGTAGTGGACACGTTTGTTGATAGGTTTAGCACCCATGTTGTTCTAGACTCATGAAAAATAAAAATACTTAAGAATTATGGACCTCATTCAAATGATGTTTCACAAAATATTTCATGGAAACCTGAATTTTCCTGACCTTTTTTAAATAAAAGAGTACTGTCAGTGGAAAAATACGGCCGCAGAGGTTTATCTGTCTTATTCAGATCAATTCTAAACGTACTCTGAATTTTTTGTTGTGACTGAATATGTAACTGCATATATTTAGGTCAGTGTATTCAGTGTTCAGTCATCACTGCTTTTTGTAAGTATTCTAACTCTGCTCTTACAGTGGAGTCCAGCCACTTACACAGTGGTCATATAAGAGTATCCACAGTCTCCTGACCAAAGACTCACCTTTTTTGTAGACAGTACTTCTCATCTTGCCATAGATTTGTTTGTTGGAAAGGTTTGCAGGGCAGGAACAGCTGTGGACAGAGAAGTTTCAAAATGGTCAGCTAAAAAATACTTTTATTCCGTTTCTCCAAAGGTTTCACAGATATTAATGCTGCATGAAAACGGTGAAGTGCAACTCCAGACATTCATGTAACCATATTTTGGTCATCTTGCAAAACTTGCAAGTCCCTGATCTTTGAAAGCCTTATATGTTGATCCAAGAACATTGGCGACAATTTTTGGCATGCTTTCAGATGCAGTCTATATATTGGGGTCAGAATCGATGCACTGCTTTGGCTCAAATTAGACAAAATTAAATTACATTAGAGAACCTGCCAAGACCTTTTTTATCTATAAGACCCTTTTTTTTTGTTACAGCTTCTACTGTCTGCAGTTCATATTGATCCCTTAACCATTCTGTCTATTCTAAGAACGTCTTGAATGTAGACAGCAATATTTATGTATGAAAAAAACAAAGAAAAACATATAAAAATATATTCCATTTTTAATTTTCTTCTTGGCATGACACTTACCTTCTCTTCAGAGCCAAGGCTCTTATCTTCATACAAGCACTCGCGAGCCACATCGCGCTCGTTGTTGAGAAAAACTCTCGTCCCGCCATACGCTCCTGCGTTCGCTGCGGAGTGCATCGAAAAAGGGGTCGATCCATACAAACCGCAGGCGGTGTTCCTCTGAGTACTGCGGCCTTTCCTCTGACAGAGTTTACATGCCACTGTAACAATAGCGATTGCTACCAGCAGCAGAGCGCAGCCCCCAGCAAGAGCGAGAAAGACCACTGTCCAGGCATCAAAACACTCTTCATCTTTAGAGTTTAGCAGGATGAGCACCTGTTCTTCAGGAGAGGCTGTGTCTGTAATGATGAACCTGATGGTGGCGGTGCTGGAGAGAGGAGCTTTTCCGTTATCGGAAACAGATACTTTGATTTGCAGTGTGTCGCCGCAGGCAGCAGTGATCTTTTGTCTCAGAACAATCGCCCCACTCTTTTTGTCGATGGAAAAGAGTTTCTTGTCGCCCTCCACAATCCGGAAGGTGACCTCACCGTTGGCGCCGTCGTCCTCGTCTTGGGCGGCGACCCGCAGGGCGAGGAATCCGGAGGGAGAGTTAGATGGCAGTGGGACATCAGCAGAATCATTTTTGAATTCAGGGTAGGTAAAATAGGGAAAGTTGTCATTTTCATCCACAACTCGGATTCGGACTAAAGAGACGCTGGACAAAGGCGGGGAACCTTTGTCGCTAGCTTGAACAGAGAACTCTATTTCCCTCAGAGATTCGAAATCGAAGGACCTCAGGCTGAACAAAGATCCTGAAAGAGGGTCTATCGAGACAAATGTTGAGAAAGGCGAGTCGTCCAGTACTTGTCCATCAACGAGACTATATAGCACTTTCCCATTTTTCCCAGCATCAAGATCACGTGCTGATACCGTGGTTATATATGAGCCTGGAATGTTATTTTCTGACACGGAAATGTCATAAACTGTCTGACTAAACTGAGGCGCGTTGTCATTCTCGTCACTTATTCGAATTGTGTATTGCTTGACTGTTTTAAAAGGTGGTGACCCCAAGTCCTCTGCAACTATCGTGAGATTGTACTCTGCGATCTGCTCCCTGTCCAAGGCTGCAGTGGTCACGATCATGAACGTGTCCCCGTAGGCCTGCTGCAACCTGAAGTGCTGGTGCCCTTGCAAGCTCGTGCGGACATAGCCGTTGGGTCCTGAGTCACGATCCGTGGTGCTGATGAGAGCCACAAAGCTCTCTTGTGCTGCCGCCTCTGTGATGTAGGCCACGCCATCACTTGTGGACGTCATGGGCTTGATGGAAATCTCCGGAGCATTGTCGTTGATGTCCACAATATCCACCACAACCCTACAGGTGGATGAGGCCGAGTTCTCACCCAGGTCCGAGGCCTCGATTTGAAGCTCGTAAGTCCTCTGTTTTTCATAGTCTACTTTCTCCTGGAGGGTCACCTCCCCCGTGGCGGAGTCGATGTGGAAAACCCTAGCAGCCTCAGACGAAGGACCTCCTGCAAACCCATACACCACCTGTCCATTTAGGCCATCGTCTGGGTCGAAGGCGTGCACCTTCAGTACCCGGACGTCGATCGCTGAGTCCTCAGACAGCTCCACTTTCAGGGAGCTGTGCTCGAAGGTGGGGCTGTTGTCATTGCAGTCCAACACTCTCATATAAACAGTCATAGAGCCTGACTTGGGTGGAGTTCCACCGTCTGTCGCTGTGACATCCAGGATGTAGCTGTCATCCAGCTCGCGATCCAACTTCTTCACCAGCACCAGTTCAGCGTGCCTGATGCCATCGTCCCGTGTCCGTGTGTCAATGATGAAGTGGCTGGAGTGGGAGATGTGGTAGCTCTGGATGTAGTTGTCCCCCACGTCCTGGTCCACAGCAACATCCAGCGGAATTCGCGTGCCCACACTGGCACTTTCCAAGACCTCTACTCTGGTCTCGTTGCGTGGGAAGCGGGGCGCATGGTCGTTCACGTCCTTCACCTCGATCTCCACATGCACAAGGTGAAACTTCTCCTTGGAGAAGGCCACCACGTCGAAGGTGATGAGGCAGGGGGAGGTCCGGAGGCACAGCCGCTCTCTATCTATGATCTCCCCCACCGTCAGCAGGCCATCGGTCGGCCTCATGTTGATCACAGACTGGTTGTTCTTCTGCATGAACCGGAAGGACGTCTCTGGATCTTCTCCTGGGTCCAGCCTCAGGTCCAAGGCCAGGTTTCCGATCTCTGTGCCTGCAGCATCCTCCTCAAACGTGCTGTACTTGGCTGTGGTGCAGAAAACTACCAAAACTTTGCAGGCGAATAGCAGCAAGCTGGGTATCAGATTCATGATTTCAAATCCAAATCCAGAGAGCTGAAGAGAGACTCACTGTTCTCCTGCAGCCTGTTCAGCTCACACTGCTCTGGCTGGGGGCCATCTGCTGGATATAAGCCACGGAGTATCCAAAAGCACCGGCCATCTATTGGCTGTGGGGATGGACTATGCAAATGAACTGGCCATGGGTAAGAGCCAGGCTGAATGCAACTGAACCAGCCTTGTATTGGATGGGAGCCATGCTGTATGCAAATAAACCAGCATTTATTGGGTATGTGGAATGCATATGCAAATGAATCCACCAGCTATTGGACGGGGGCTGCAGAGTATGCAAATAAAGGAACTGTGTTAATATGTTTGTGATTATTTAGATTATATTAACAGCATTTTCAAATATTAGATATAAAAGGATTATCTTGAAATAGACATTATTAAAACATTTACATTATTATATCTAATGTCTTTGATTTGCCATTTGAATTTTGGAAACTGAACACTAGAATTTAAATGTTTTATAATAAAACTGGCTTGATCACTACTTTGGAAACACAAGGCATTCTGCATGTCAATTTTATTAGAATTTCATTCTAGATGTTCATTTTGTTTGAGCTTCATTCTCAATATTACTTTTATTAGAATTTTATTCTGGGTGTTAATTTAATTTGAACTTTATTCTGGGTGGTAATTTTATTATAAATTCATTCTAGACATTAATTTTTCCATTTATTTATTATTCATATTCTTATTCTTGTTTTAATTATGATTATTTTATTATTGTTTCAGTCATTTTCATCCATTTTAGTTTCCTTTTAGTTTCTTGATCTTATCCTCCTTTTGTTTTTTTTTTTACCTTTTTGATTTTATTAACTTTTACGTTTTAGTTATGCTTTAAGTATTGTTTTATATTTTCTACTGTTTTTATTTTTTATGAGTTTCATTTTTATATACCTACCTGATGTGAGTCATTTTTATTATTAAATTTACTTTTATTATTTGATATGTTCCTATACATTATCAATCCATTTTTCCTGTATCAACTCAGCAACATGTAAATGAGGGTCACCCTTAATGATCTCCGAGGCTAAATGAAGGTTGATTGATTTGATTGATAGCTTCACTCTGGATGCTACTTTTATTAGAAATTCACTCTGGATATTAGAACTTCATTCTGGATGTTTTTTATTAGATCTTCATTATTTATGTTCTATAGCTTTCTCAGTCACTGTAGAACCTTCTCCAGCTCTGTTCATCATTCTGGACATTTGTCCATTTTCACTGGGTGTCCTACTGATTATCTGAAACCTGTGAAGTTGTTCAGTATGAGCAGATTACAGTTATTTCATATATTTATCTGGAACAAGACTGAAAACTGAGATTCCAGACTACTGTGAAAGTTACTGGCTACAGTGGAACCGAGTAAACAGTGACGACTGACTAATACACTTCAGCAGGAACAGTACGACTTCAGAAAAGTGATATAACAGCTCATAAACCGCTTTACACTTCAATGTTATGTTGAATCAGTTTGTTAAGTGAGTGAACATGCTGAACTCCGCAGGACGCCGCCCCACAGGCCTGGGGTCTGCCTGACCCCCTCCCCTCCCCGGCACTGGGCCGTTAGCTCTGGTTTGGTCACTGCTGGTGTGAACTGCAGCACGTTCAGGCTGGGCGTCAGTCTCCTAAATTAGGCTTTTCTCTGAGAAAACGCTGAGGAGCTGCGAGAACATCACCTTCATTCACCTTCCCAAACACGCCACTCACACCTTCAGCTCAGCAGTGAAGTCACAGCGTCGTAAAGGACCATATCAGGAAAACTGAATTCTCTTCACCTTTTAGAAATAAGAACGTATGGTATGTAGAGATTTCAAGAAACCATCCACTCTCCAGTCTATACAGGAAGTCATGGTATGAACTAAACAGCCCGTTTTAAAGTTGTTTTTATACACAAAAAAATAGAACACATACACCGCAAAAATGGTAAAATTATCTTAAATATAGTCAATAAATCTAATATTTCTAAACATTTTTTACTTGTTTTAAGTGACTTTATTAAGTACATAGCATGCACTCATTTAATTGCATCTCAGTCATTGTTTATTAGCCACAAACCACAACAACTCTTACTACATCTACTACTACCAATAATAATAATAATAATAATAATAATAATAATAATAATAATAGTTGGTATTATTATTAGCAGTAGTAGTGTAAATGCAGGTTTTAATAATATTTAGGTGTTTAATTAAATCAAGTAAACCTACATTTAACAGTACAAGTATATAGGACTCTTATTATGATAGCATTAAAGCTCCTGCTGAACGAGAGTGAATTTGCTGAGTGAAGTGTTAAACCTGTGTTCTTGGGCTGGATTTGTAAGATGATTTCCGTTTGTTTCTTAATTCTGACAGGCTGTATTTACCAGTGTGTCTTTAATGAATCTGTGATATAATTTAGAGTAATAGCCAGTTAGTTGTAGCTGAATCACAGCCATGTGTGCTCAGTGTGCAGCGTTCCTGCAGCGTCAGGTTCTCGTTTGAATAGTTCTGCTGTATTTTGACTTTTATCATCGTTAATATCTGAGTTTTATAGAGTTAACCAGCCTCAGTGTCTGGTGGGTGAAGCACAGCTTCGCCTCAGATGTGAACATTTCACTGTAGAAAAATGGAAAAATGATCTGTGGGCCGGATTTGAGGATAAATTATAAATACGTGACGAGCCGTGTGAAGCTCCGGCCAGTAGTGTGAGACCCCTGGACTACAGGGTGGCTAACACAGACTCTACATCAGCAGTTGGGCTACAGTCTCTAACTACACCACAGTGGAGGTGTTTCTGATAAAGTGGCCAGAGCCAAAACAAAGATCATTCCTCACAAAACCAGACTTGTTTAGAATGAATAGCAACGTTTAAGCATTTTGAAGACTGTGTCTGTGAGAAAATGACAGGAAATGTGAAAACGAGGTTCACACCTGGAAATAGGCTTCTTCTCAGGAAGGTTCAGCACCTTTCAGGATCTGTTCACACAAAGCTGAGCTTCACACTGACACCCACAACACCCCCCACCCTGTAGACGGCCTCAGTCTGTAAAACTTCAAACTGAACGGAACTTTTATTAAACTTTCATGATTCATTTTTACATTTTTCCTGTATTTTATTTAAGGTCCACTAATGTGTGTTTTTATGTACCAAAAAACAGTCAGTCTTTATCCCTCAGAATGAAACTGGCTGCTTTTGTTACTGTGCCTTTAAGACTGATATATCGTCGCTGTCAGAACATTTCATATCTGATCTTTGCTGCTTTTTTACATAATTTGAAAAACCTTTTACACTGTGTGTAAATTTCATGATAAACACACAAGTAGAAATGGCCCAAAGTGACTTTGCATTAACTTACACTGAAAAGAAAGAAGGCGTTCTCCTTCTACACTATTAAAAAGATGGTTCTTCAGGGGTTCCTTGGTAAAGAAAATGGGTTCTAAATAGAACCATGAACATTCAAAGAACCCTTTGCATGATTAAATGGTTCTTTGCATGGTGAAATAGTTCTTCAGATTAATGGAGAATGTTCTGTGGATGGTTCTACATAGAACCTTTTTGAAAAGCACCAGAAAGCGTTCTTCCAATATCACAAGCTTGACATGTTGGTTTTTGACATTGTATATTTTATATATGTATACACTGCAAAAATGGCATCTTGTCAAGTGAAATGATCTTAAATCTAGTTGATAATTTAATATTCTTCCCATTCTGAGATGGTTGTGCTCTGATTATAAGATTATTTATCTTATTTCTGGACATTATTTGCTTGTTTTGAGTAATTTTATTGAGTGAAATTATCTCACTATGCTGGCAGATAATTTGGCTGGTTTCAAGCTCATTTCTTACAACAAGCAAAAATATTTGCCAATATAGTGAGATAATTTTACTTATAGTGTATACTTGGAAAAATATACAGCGCATTTCTTTCCCCATATTTTTAGTTTATATTGTTAAGTAAAACTTTCTATTAAAACTTTATTTATTTCCTTATGAATTTTAACAATATAAACTAAAAATAATAATAATTTCATACATTAAAAATGGAGCTCAAATTGCTTTACAATGCAAAGTAAAAACAGCAAAGACGAAAGGTAATCAAAAATACAAAAGACTAATTATACATATAAAAGCAAAAAAAAAACAAATAAAAGCAATAGCAGAAAAAACGACATATTAATAATATTTAAAATTAAAAATTAAAATGCATGGTAAAAGTATAAATAGAAATCCAATAAAAATACAACTAACAAGAAAGTAAAAGTAATATTGCAGTAAAAACGGGGAAACAATAAAAAAATAGTGAAGTCACCCCCTCCCCACCCCATCAACACGCTTAGATGAAGACCACCTGGCAAGTGGTCCCCAGATAATTTGAGTCTGTGTCCAGCCTTTCATCAGTGGTCAGTGTCTGTGATTGGTAGACAAATCTAAACACCACTGTGTCTGATATGCAATCAGACTGTAGTGCTTTTATTCCAGCATCATCAATAAAACGTCAGTAACACATCAGTGAAGCTCCACTCCTCCACTCTTCCACTGACAGTTTAGTTCCAGTCAAAGTCCAAACTCTCAGCTCGTAATCTGGGGTTTAACGGCTGCCCGACTCAACTCGACCCGGCGAGGAGAAGAATGTGAGGCCGAGTGAGGGTTAATAACCCACAGCCCCCTCCCCCCTCCCTCTCTCTCATCGTGGTGCTATTCCTCCAGAGTCTGATTAGCTAAACATCACCAGGGGCTTCATCTTTAAACGCTGAGAGAGAGTTATTAATGTTAATATGTCTGGATTTCTGAGCCCCGAGTATGAGAGTTATGTTGGGGGTGATGCTCGTGTATCATCTGATCTCATTCCTACAGCTTTACATGGTGATGTTTTCACGCAGCTGGTTGCAGCAGTTTGAGAGTTCTGTGAAGAAATTCATGCCACACATTCATTAATTCTACTGTATAGCAGGATTAATAGTGAATATTGTTCATGC